TCAAACAGTTTAAACTCTACTTGTTTTTTGACATTTTCTCATTCATTCCGACCGTAAACCACTACAGTGACTGCAAAAGATCAAGGACGCGGAAGGTGAACTTGCACGTTGGCAAGATACACTACAGCAGTTCGATTTTACTTGTAGGTTTCGGAATGGTCAGTTCAGTTCAGTGAGGGAAGTAGGCGTAAGCCTTTGAGTACTCTATTTGCAACGTAAAAAAATGTGTGATATACAGATAAATGTTCTGGGCTGAGATAGTTCAAACACGCCCATAATGGTAGGACAAAATGAGAACGAGTTACAAGGGGGTGAGCTCTACTTCTCATCGTTCTTGGTCATTTCGGAACATAAATATGTCAAGATTCTTTTTAAAACTTTGTACAGATGGTGACATCACAACATCTGCGGGAAGGGCATTCCGTGGTTGGACCACTCAAACAGAGAATGAGAACTTTCGCACATCCAGCCTTGCCCGCTGAGTTCGCAGTTTTAACTGGTAACCTCGGAGGTTGGTCGTGGTAGCAAATTCAAATAAGTCCTCGAAGGCCAGACTACAACGCGTAAGGCTTGCAAGAGATCCCCGCGAAGTTTCCTGTAACTCAAAGGAAAGAGGTTCAGATTTACTAGGCGGGTTGCATAAGGAAAGGACCTTTGACCCCTAACCATCTTCGTGGCTCTCCTCTGAACTCTTTCGAGGCAGTTTTGATCCTCAACCGCCCACGGTCTCCAGGCTTTCCCGTAAACAATGAGACCCAGCCGAGACCGCACAAGTCTGCCCTCATCTGATTGAATTCGCCTCGCCAAACATTCCGTCTTTTTCGGTCTGGAGTATGTGAAATGGAGAATAACGAATAATCCAACATAAGCACTACGTGATCACTTCGACCAAGGGGCGGCATGGAGGTGATCTCGTCTATGCTGTCTGGTGATTTCGTAATAACAAGATCCAGGCAGTTTGCCCTTTGTCCTTCACGTGTTCTCGTTGGGAACAGAGAGGCGGGTCTCACCGAGAGCCGCAATGTCCACACTGTAGGGAACCGGTCCCCTCGTGCCCAGGGCCGTCCCCCCTTCTGGACGGTTTGTCGTTAGTTTGCCTGAAAGCGAACGCACATTCCAGGCTGCCAGAATGAGCAGGGCCACTGTGGCGGCCCGCGCCGGGCACGGTATAGAAACAGGGTTGGTGATTGTTTCGCATATTGTTTTGACCGCAATTTTTGCATCCCTCCATAGGCCTTTTTTGTTTGGGGTGGGGGACTTAAGGACTAGTTTGGGGACTACCGGGTATGAAGACACAAACATCTGGTTTAGCCCGCTAGTTAAGGACAGTAACTGGTGTGTGGCCGTCGTGCTTAGCACGGCTTTGTGGTCCACAGGTAAGAGCTAGGTACCAAGAAGAGGCGGTGTAGGAGTATCCACCAGGTCCATCGATGCATTGGGCGGCCAATATCAGTTTACTGCTTACCACCCTAATCGTGCCTGCAATACTAGGCTCAGTTGGTGTCGCCTATGCTACATCCTCGTTCATAGCAATTGCCGGCAGTGTATGCGTGGCGTGGTGTAGATTTGTGCAACGTTCATCCAAACGCATCGACGAAGCTGAAGTGACCGTTCAACTTAAACGCGGGCACATACCTGCGACACCCTGTACAGTCGTACGGAGACACACAACAGTTGGTAGAAGTAAATGCAGGGAGATTTGCTGCGCTTAGCTTCGTTGATTTTAAGTATCTTCCGAGGACACCAGCTACAAGGTTGTTTGTGATAGAGAAAGAAAAAAACAATAACCACCGATGCCCACCTCTTCCACCAGATCAACCGTTAGGCGGTGATCCACATAAAGTGGATCATCACACTGCAGGCAATTCAATGCCCCGCAAGGAGTGGCTGCAAGGCAATAGGACATACCGACGACAGGTAGATCATTGTAGAATGTCACCTGCCAAGGTTGAGCTCGAACACCGACAGAGTACCTTCGAGGAAGATAATCCTATCAGCATTCGACAAGGAGATGGTGACCTTAGGGAGAGTGGTAAACATTCAAATATCCCAAGCCATGGCAAAGGATTCCGCATGTGAAGGTTGGTTCGATAGCCACGACCACGAGGCCCATATCAACAGAGGGCGGAGTCGCCACAAACCGTACACCAAAATTTGTCGCCGAGTTTTGGTGCCAAAATACCTTCAACTCAGAGGTGAAAAGGAGTCCGTTGTCTATAAACGGCAATATTCTGCCGTAGGTGTAATTATGTTGGAAAACTCGGCAGACAACCACAGAAGAGGCTGCATGGACGCCTATACGGGGGGAGGGCGGATCCGAATTCTCAGTTGGAAACTGGTGCTATCAAAACGGCGAATGACTTCGAAGATGAAGCAGTCGAAGTCGCAGGTGTGGATAACAACCAGGGGGTGAGGTTGTTACAAGATTTTCGGCTGGTAGATGGCCGCCCGATTTCCCCTCACATCAAGGACATCTGACTTTTCGTCACTATTTCAAAAAGGTCCAATCCGTCGGGGCACCAGGAAAGGTGTTCAACAGCCGGGATGCAATTATAGCAAGCACGCGAGAACATACGTGGACAGCACATGAATGGCGGCAGTAACTTATCCACGCTCGGCCGAGGACACAAAAAGTAGTCATGGGCCCTAAGACATGCACCTTCTTGAAAATTTACAAGTATTTGAATATTACCAGGATTAGCTCCCAGATTTTAAACGCACTTGTCCAGGGAACGCTACGTTTTTCCTCATTATCTTAATGACTCACTTTAGAGAGGGTCGCCTCGACCGCAGGGCCAAGCCTTGCATGAAAGCCAAGAGAACTTGGGTTGCTGGGTGGTGTAGATATGACGACTTCGCCGGTGATCCTGCTGTCGGCGACGGCGAGCAGCGTTGCAGGTCTGGAAAAGCTCATTCGCGACAAAGATTGTCAACAGGCCGACAAAGACAAGAAACATGACGAACCAGGAGAGAAGAAAACCTAGGGCAAACCGGAAGGTGAAAAAGGTTGAGGAGGCGAAAATTGAGACGTGAGATGACTCAACCAGTTAGCGCACATTTCAAATAACCCACAAAAACCCACAGAATATTTTAAGATTTTGCCCGGGAAGACGGGTTGCCAGTTAGCCCAGCTGCTTGCTACCTGGCGCGTCCACAGGTGGCGGATAGTGGAACGGCATTTAGTGAAGATCAGCTGCAAAATAAGCAGTTGCGGACCAGCAGCAACAGTGATACCAGAATGTGGAGGGCTGAGGTCTGGCACACTGAAAGCCTTATAAAAAAGCCGCAAAGCCCGATAACGGCACTGTGACATGGCGACCGCGAAACGCCATTAAAAGTTTGCTTGCTACCGCTGCCTTGTGGCTAGGCTCTTAAGCCAAAGCGCTTGAGGAGACGACCTCGAACAAACAACCCGAGCAGCTGTTGGGGACCCGCATGTATTTAAAATCCCCAAGGAGCCTCCTCAAATAGGCCCGACTACAGTATCACGACCCGTGCTACGGCGTCCGCGGTAACAGACGCGCTCCGAAACCCTGGTCCAGTGATGCAGGCGAATTGTATGCGAGCTGTACTACTCAATCGGGGACGGACTCTTGGTATTGGATGCTGGAATGTGCGAACGTGCCTGGACCCCGATACCCAAAGCCTGACCGCGCGCAGCCTTAATCAGTACAACGTGGATGTTTGCTGTCTGTCTGAAGTCCGACTTCCTGACTCAGGCTCTCGATAAATTAAGATCCCCGGAGCTAAATCACACTTCTCCCTGTACCACAGCGGCCCACGCGACTCTTCTGGTAGACACGGTGTAGTTATCGCCCTCCCGCAACAAACGAACCTCGAGTTACTTGCTTGGGAACCAGTCAAAGACCGGATGGTCTACGTGTGACTGAAGGGTCACTTCACGAGCATCTCCACCATCTCTGTGCATTCACCAACATCAACTGCCGAACAGCGCGATAAAGAGGTGTTTTACTTACATTTGCAAACATTAGTTGAAAGACTCCCTCGCCGCGATCTGCTGATTGTCGCCGGGGTGGTCGGACTGGACCTGGCGACTCCACAAACGGTCATCTTATTGGCCGCTTTGGGCTTGGTTGTCGATGTGGAAATGGTGAGAGATTGCTGAACTTCGCTGATCAGAACCGACTGCTTGTACCCAACACGTGTTCCAGGCATCGCAACAAACATCCGCTGACCTGTCTGTGGGGCAGCAAAGAAAATCCTTGGATATACCCAGCGACGCCGCAGTGACTGGATCAGCGGAAGAACTCTGCAGTTGAGGGCGTTAAGTTTGCGCCCGGACACCGGCTGAGTGATATTGACTATGTCGATCATATTGCTTTACTTGCTACAAGTTTTGGTGATCTGCAGTCTATGGTGTCACGGATGAACAAGGTCGCTAAATCGGTCGGTTTATCCATAAACGCGGAGAAGACTAAAGTGCTTTCAAGCTGCATCCCTGGTCAAGAGAAGGCACCTCTCGAGATTGATGGCTGTCAACTTGAAGAAGTAGACAGTTTTAAATAACTCGGGGCGAGGCTGCTGCCGAATGGACGTAGTAAGGACACTGTCTCCCGAATTGATGCTGCCCGCAGGGTTTTCTTAAGCCTTCGGAAATGCCTATGGATCCGACGTAACACGTCCAGCGCCACTAAGATTCGCGTGTACCGTGCATCTGTCCGGTCTGTCCTTCTCTACGGTTGTGAATGCTGGGCTTTGCGTGTGCAGGACGAGTGAAAACTGGAGGTATTTGACCACCACTGTTTGAGGACTATCCATCGAGTGAAGTTCACCGGCATCGTCTCAAATGAGACGGTCCGTGTTTACTGCGGCAACATTGCAAAGATAACCCCGGCCATCCAAGAAAGGCGATTGAGGTGGTTTGGGCGTGTTCTTCGTCGTCCACCTCAGCAGTTCAGTGTTACTGACCTCGATCCGGCACCGTTACACCATTGGAAAAAACTAACGAGATTTGATAGAATCGACATGAGTAAACTTATATGTCACTAGCTTGGTCTATCATGCACAGTCTTCCGGCTGTGACCTCCAGCGACCCTTGGCATATTCCGGTTTAGCTAAGGGTCAGGTAACTGAAACGTGGTAGCGCCGACTACCACTCACGAACAAACCGAAATTTCGGACGGACTACTGGCAAAGGGGGTTGAATAGATAATTAACTCGGTGAGGCGTACGAAGAATCCCCACCGGATTGGCCTCATTCGAAGGCTCCTAGGGATGAACAAAGTCCCCGTATCACGAAAAATATATGCCCAACACATCGATCGGGGTAGTCGAACTTGTCGGTCAATTCAAAATGATAGGGTAAAAGCTCCCATGTAAACGTCTAACGCCGTTGTTTACCACCCACTTTCTATTCCATTCTGCACCGGTTTGGTAGATACTGCGTGGTCATACACAACACGTGGTTTAACTGGCGGCGGCCGACAGGTCTAACTATCGAACTGCGTATAGAACACGCGGTTCAATAATTAAGCTGGACAAACAACTACGTCAGGAATTAAATCCCAGGTCCACACGGACCGCCAAAAAAACGGTCATTCCTGTCACCCCCGTCTTTGTAGGTAAGAATAGTACATCTGCCAAATAATGCAACATGCTTTACAAATCGGCAATTCAAGGCGGTTAGTGGACGATAAGACCTAGACAACATTGTGTCTTGGTCATTTTTGTCGTGGTTTATGTTGCTGCTGCTTTTCCTGCTCCGCCTCTGTTGCTGCTACCGTAGCGTCTCAAACGTGTATGCGCCTTCCGGCCCTGGCGCATACGACAAGCTACGTACCACGTGATCACGGCTTCCTAGAGCACGTCAAGTGCGCCCTTCCAGCTCTGAGGAAAGCCAATTAAAGGCGTTCATAAACCTTGAAATAACTAAGCGAACGCCGGTTGGAAGATATTAGGTCCCGAAACCCATTCAAATATTCGTAAATGGCGCGATTTGGAGATATTATGAGGGAGTCGAATTCTGGACAGCGATAAGTTATTGGCATTAGGGGCTCCAATTGTTTTCACTGCATCAACTCCAACGCCACTACTACCAAAATTACCAACGCCACCTCCATTACTATGATTACGATCAGTAAACCACTAGTAGCAGGGCATCAAAAATGTCACCATCTACCTTCCGAGAAGGACGCTGGCACTCTGGATACCGACTGAAAATGCATTGACCTAAGCCGCATCGCGGCAAACCGGTACCGACTCTGCGCTACTGTCAGGAGAAGCATAATCTGGACACAGTTCTAGCAGTGTTTGGAGTATTCCATCAGATCCATTTCTGAGAGGAGTGGCGGACACGTTCTTTGCACAGTACGTGCCCTCCGAGTCCTGAGTTGGGCACAGACCGTACCAGATGCACTGGTCGCCAAGCGTAAGTGGCAGGAGCCATGCAAGAACTAGGTTCGTAAGGCGCATGAACTAAAAAAAAAGAGAAAAGACGGCAGGCTGGAGGTTGGACCCTACAAACAATGTTGAAGTTCTATGATGGAAAGAAGGGCGTGTGGAAAAGACAGAAAAAAATCACCGACCATGAAGAGTTAGAAATGGTAGACAACTCGATTGGGGTATTATTATAAAAATAAAAAATGCATGGTGGAATATACAGCAACAGAGTGATCATGAGTGTAAAAACAGGGCTGGCAGTACTAGAGACCGTACGCGCATGAACATGCACCGAGAGTATCAAACGTCAAGTAATGACGTTCGTGAACGACAGTGGCGCAAATTTTAACATGCGGTCGAGATGAAAAATGGACCTGTATGTGCATACTCTGACGACGTGTTAAAGCGCTCGACTCACGGGTCATTGGAAAGTTCCACCCCCATAGGATTGTGATAAAACAGCGGATAGCAATCTACTCCCATCATCGGAAATAACGGCCTCGCCTTGGATTAGTCACGGCACGAACTATCACTCCCCCTGTCGCACCGCTGATAAAACGCTTGAAAAAAATCGTAGTAGATAGGATTAAACATAAAAAGTAGGAGACGGGAAGATCAATGACTGACATTGTACAGTAGCCTCAGCGGTTGCAGCTGAGTACAAAAAAACTCCCGAGCCGACTGAACGGTTTCATTTCGCCCTTCGTATGAGGTCGTCCGTGAAATACACATCAAAGTGTATTAGTCAGGAATTCAGGTGGCCTTATTCGCTTGTACAAGTTCATCTGACATTACGGGTTCGAGCAACCAACTTTGGGTTTCTGCAGCCTAATTGTAGTTTTAGGCGACAGAAGATGTCTCTTGTCTAAGAACTGGGTCCTTCAACCGCGTTATTTAACTGCTGGCACGTAACAGAACGGAGACAATCAACTAACACGAATCATAGCGACAAACCTCTTCAGTAATAGGCTGTCGGAGGTCGTCGAAAGACTGTCGTTTACATGCCTGATTCAATGCTTAGGCGCTCCGAGGTAAGACCAAAGAAACTAATCTCCAAAAAAGAAAAGCCTAGTCGTCTAATAGTTGTAATTTAGTTGCGGAGACTGTAACTACGCTGGGAAACCAAGTTGGTAACTGCAGATAAGGGTGTACGAATAGTACCTAACGATAAGGCGACTGGATCATAATTATCAGATGACGACGCACGCCATCCTCTGACTTTTACGCGACCAAAGATCAACGACCGAAGCGATAGGTGCACAGCAACCTGCATATCCAGCTCTCCGGAGTTTATGCGACTTTGCGAACACACATTACAAGTGGACAACCTTACCAGGGACTGTATGGGACACCTGCTCCTTCTGCGGTAAATTCTTGAGACGGATCAAACAGTCGACCCAGGGATTCATGCAAAGACAGAAACGGCGAACCGTGTGAATTCACGAACTCACTTAGATGTATACTGACGTACACAACAGCGACTCCCCTCCTGTTTGTAAGGATAGTGGGGAGTTT